TGAGCAAACTTCAGAGGACAGCGGAAGACAGGAGGGCCTGGCGGGATCTAGTCCATGGGGTTGCGAAGAGTCGGACTCGACTGTGCGACTGAACAACAACAATAAAATTATGATACTGGCTGATCTGTTTTCAATACCCTTCCTAATAATCCCCAGCATAGCTTTGGCCTTTTTATTGCAGTTGCACACTGTCTCGACATTTTCACTGAGTTATCTACTACGATTCCAAGATCTCTCTCTTGGTCAGTCTCTGCCAGTTTGGACCCCATCAATGTGTATTTATAGTTAGGAGTTTTGGCTCCAATGTGCATCACTTTGCACTTGGCCACAATGAACCCCATTTGCCATGTTGACGCCCACTCACCCATCCTTGACAGATCCCTTTGGAGTGCCTCACAATCCTCCCTGGTTCTCACCACCCTGAACAACTTCGTGTCATCCGCAAATTTAGCCAGTTCTCTGCTTACTTCCAAGTCCAAATCATTAATAAACAAGTTAAAAAGCAGCGGACCAAGAACTGATCCCTGCGGTACCCCACTGCTTACCACCCTCCACTGAGAAAATTGCCTATTTATACTCACTCTGTTTCCTATTAATTAGCCAGTTTTTGATCCACAAAAGGACTTGTCCTTTTATCCCATGACTATTGAGCTTACTTAGGAACCTTTGATGAGGAACTTTATTTTGGGAACAAACATGACAGGGCAAAACTGTAATTTTTTTAAAAATAACTATATTCCTAGGAATTCTGAGCTCCAGATCGTCCATGACACCTGCCCAAGGCAGACAAACCTGCCTCTCCAGGGACTGTGCATTTTAAGGCAGCTAAGGAAGGGGTGGGAGTATTCAGGGGAGCTGTGCTCCAGAAGATAAGGGACTACAGCCTCCGGAACCCAGTTCCACTTCGCAGAAAGCTCCAGCATGAGAAACACCGAGCTGCACTCCACACTAGTAAGGTCGACAGGCCGGGAATATGGCTTTGTTCATTGAATAATACCTGAGCTGAGTTGGTTTTGCTTTTCTCGTTGCAGAGGTGTGGGCCTTGGTGTAGATAAAGGAACAAATCAAAGGGCCTTGAAGTGCGCTGGGCTAACGGATCCAGGACCCAGACAAGACCTTTATTAGTCTTCTTCAGCTGTTTTGGGTCCACTGGTTTATGTAAATGGTCGGTATTACTCAAGCCACTTAGGGGAGAAGAACAGGGTTAGGGTGGCTGGCCAGATAAAGGCCATCATTATGAACAGAGCCACCAACCTCAGGCAGCAAGAACACAGCCCCTGGGCCTGCTACCGCTCCAGAAGCCTTACCTGTGGACATGAAAAATGGAATGCGAAACTTCCCACTCAGCACCCTTGCCCGCAGGTTCTGCAGTGTGCTCCCATCGAAAGGCAGGGCCCCGCAGACCAGCACGTAGAGCACCACGCCAAGGCTCTGTGGGTCAAGAGAAGCCACATGCAACAGGGCCACTTGGGCGGGGGGGACAACAGCATGAAGTCAATATGGGTCCTTGCTGGGGGGAAAGACCCCTTTTACTTTCACATCCACCATTAACAATGAAAATGTTGGCCTCCCAACCAGCACATCCAATTACAAAAGTGAGTGTTGTCCCACAGCCGATACACCTCATTCTGTAAGCCTCATCGCTTCCAACAGAGACAAGAAAAGTCATTTGCACAGAAGAGCCGTTCAGTGCGCAACCTACCCAAATGTCCACTTTCGGTCCATCATACTCCTTTCCCTCAAAGAGCTCGGGGGCAGCATAAGGGGGACTTCCACACCAGGTCTTCAGCAGCTGACCTGGTGTGAAGATATTACTGAATCCAAAATCTGAAAGGGAAGAAGGAACACACTGATTTGATGGTGACCGATTCCCCTGCAAAGGCTTCAAATAACCTCCCGGCCTAACTGTGGCAGGGAAGGCTGGGCAACAGGTAGGGACCCAGAAGCACTAACTGCATGCCCTCGAAAGCGTGGCAGAACCCCAGGCCTGTCTGCCCAGCAGCTACAGCGGAAGCTGACACTCTCGTCTGTAACTTGCCGGAGACACCGGGTTTCCGGGAATCTGACTGGCCCTGCTTGCTCCCTTCTTAAAAAATGGCTGACCTGCTATTTTGATGTTCAGGTTTGCATCCAGAAGCAGATTCTCAGCCTTCAGGTCCCTGTGGACAATGTTCCGACAGTGGCAGAAGTGGACGGCTGCCACGATCTGCTTGAACTTCTTCCGCGCCTCTTTTTCAGCCATCCGCCCGTGGGCCACCAAATGATCTGAAAGACAAAAGGGGGATTGGGAACACGAGGCCGTTGCTGAAGAACTGTGAGCTCGTTCTGGTTCATTGTGGGACCTCTAAGACCTGCTCAGTCCATGACTGGCCCAATCCAGTCCTCCTTGGGAAACAGCATCAGGTGGTGGGCAGAGCCGCCGGCCGAAAGAGCAGCACCAGGATACAGAGCCTGGGAATCGGGACCACAGGGAGAGGGGCCCTCCTGGCTGATCCACCCATCCAAGAAACACGCCTGGTGGGCACATGACAGAGGGCCTTCTGGGGACAGCCCCACAATGAATGAATGAATGAAACGACCTTCCCAGGGTGGTGTGCCCGGCCTCCTCCCCTTAGATCTTCAGGAGGCAGCTGAAGATGGTTTTGTTTAGGGCTGCACTTGATTGATGTTTTTTATTTACTGGCAGCCCTAATGGCAGATTTTAATTGTGGCGTTTTATGTGACGTTTATAATTGTGTTATTTACAATGTAAGTTTCCTTCTGCAAGGTAGAAGGTGGCTGAGAAATGTTTTAAAGAAATGTGCATAAATAAAGCAAGACTTGGGGATGGGATGTTTGCTGGTACAGCAGCTACCAGCTTGGCCTTTCTTCCCAGCATGGAGGGATCTGCTTGAGCCACTGACTCTGATCGGTTGCACACCTGCACACCCCTTGCACGGCTTGAGGCAAGGAACAAATCTTCAGCACCTGCCAGCTCCAGTCACTAACCCCACCCAAAAGACCACTTTGGAAAGATGCAGAGACTCCACCTGGGGAGGGACGACAATGCCAGAGCTGTGGGGCACTGGCTGAAATGGCCTCAGTGCACACCAGAATGCCACCTTGCCCCAAGAGGTTCAGGAAGAGAGAAGGAAAGTTGCAGCACGAGCGGCTGTCCCCCGGACTCCCAACATCCATGCTGAGGGCAACTTGTGCTGGCTGGCTCAGGGTTCTGTAGTCAGTCCAAAGCATGAAAAAGGACGTTTTTGCACTGGTGGCTGAAGCTCAGCCTATACGGTAGCCTGAACATTGACCACCTCAAGGCACCTGTGAACACAGCACCAACCCTTGGCAGGGGCAGGAGGCCAATTAAAATGGATCACCCGTGGAGACTGGTGGATTCTACTGGATTCCAAAACGCTCTGAGGGATTTTATGATCCCAAATGACGGTTCTTTCAAGGCTGCACTGGGGGCCTAGAACATGAAGCTCCATAAAGTTATCAGTAGGGTTACTCCCTGTGTCCTCTTCCGCCCTTGAGGTGGAATCCCACACTTTGGTTTATTATGGCACTAGGTAACTTGAAGAGGGCCAGGAGGCATCTACAGTGGTGTTGGCAGAAAACCTGAGAGTAAATCCAACAGAGCACGTGAAACAGCACAGGAAGGCCCACGAGACAGCAATGACAGCCGCGCAGAAATCTTAGTTCTCCACCTCCTTCACAGCTGGCTCCGTTTTGGCACCCGCTGATTCCTGGGCCCAAGTCTTTAAATTCTCAGGAAATGGCGATTAGCTGTGACCTTTCGGAACGTCAAACAGCACAGGCAGTATTAGTGTCTATCACACCATTTAGCCTGTCTACTGACCAGTGTGGCAATATCAACAAGACCTTGGGATCTGTGAAGGCCACCGCATGTGCTCTTGATCCCTGCCTGTCCTGGGGACTGAAACCTTATAAAGGAGCCCTTATTCTATTTTACTAATTTATTCTATTTTACTAACTAATTTAAATTAATCTTAACATCTGATCTTCCAAGTTTTACGTGCTAATGTATTTTATGGTTCTGTAAAATTTTTAATGGCCAATGGCTAAATACAGCAAATTCTATTACTACTACTATTAGATGAGTCCTTGACCCCACCGTAAATCAGTCTCTGACTCAAAGTGGGTCTTTTGCCAAAAGAAGAAGTTATCCATCCATTACTTTTAAAAATTTCTGGGGAAGAATGATGTGGCCAATTACTCCCTGGCCCTTCGTAGGCAAGGTGACTGAGAGGAGGAGCTGTAGAAAGGCTCCAAGACTCCTGGATAACATCTCTGCTCCGGAGAGCCCTTCCCACCTAACTCCACAGCTGATCATGGGACAAAGACGATGTTGGTGGCTTTAGTTGAAGATCTCTGTTTGAATGTTGACAAGGGCTGTGCCTAATGTTGGATTTATCTGCAGCCTTTGATATGGCGGACAGTGTATCCTGCTATGAGGTTTGGAGACAACAAAAGTAGGTATCGAGGGATGTGCTTCGGGTGGGTTTAAGCCACTCCTTGCAGAGAGGATTCCGACCAGTTGTCACTGGTGTGGGATTCCACACAGCTCCACCTTATCTTTACATAAAGCCCTGAAGAGAAATCAGAGAAAGCCGTTTGGGGCCTGGGGAACCACCAACATGCTTTTTATCCCTCTGTCCGTATTGCCTGGTGCTGCTGTAGAAGTCCCGTGTCTGGCTGATGTGGCCAAATGGCTAATGGTGAAAAAGCGGAAACTAATCCCTGATAAGACAGGCGATGCTGGTCAGGAAGGCTCAAGTCTTAGTGGGTGGGGTGCACTCCACATTGGAGGGGGTCCAGCTGACCCTCAATGAGTCACTGAGGTTACGCCCAAACCAGAACTATTCCTAGCAATGCTCCCTCTAAGCTGTGGAATCTTGTGAGCAGAAATTCTACTCGGTGAGCTCCTGGCATTAAAGTTGTGAGTGAGCAATTTGGCTGCTGCATAAATCAATTTGCTCTGGAGCCCTCCTCCCTGAGCTGAAACAACAATGTGTGAGCCGGAGGCTAAGACACTGTGAGCCAGTTCACACTGACTCAGCTTAGAGGGAACACTGATTCCTAGGTAAAGTTAACTCAGCTGTGGAAAAAAATGCTTTCTCCCAGCTTTGTTTAGCCTGGAAGACGGCTCTCTAGTCTTGACACGGCTGATCTAGCCACATGGACCTATTATGCCTCAGCAGTCTTGAGGCCAAAATGTTCTGAGGCACTCTGTACGAGGCTGTCCTGGAATCCCCGGAAACCCCAGCCGATGCAGAACACCATCTCTCAATTACTATCCAGAGCACAGCACGTGCATTCCGCAGACACTACACTAGTTACCGGTTAATTTGTGGATTCAGTCCAAGGGACCGGCAACCCCACACGAAGGCCATCATGGCCTCGACCCTACCTATTTGCAGGACTGCCCTCCCCAAGGGGCACTGCTGAGGCAGCTTTGCTCATCTGAGCAACGCCTTTTGAAGGTGCCACCCTGCCAACGGGTGAGAGCGACAGCTGCCCGTCGCCACTTGTTCTCCGCTGCAGCTTCCGCCTGTTAGGATGGCTTGCCTGAGGGGGTCCAGAAACGGAAGTGTTCAGGAGGGCGTCTCCTTGGAGAGGACTCAGGCCACCTGCTGAGGCAGCCACAGACCACAAGGAAATCGGAGCCCGTAAACGGATAAAACACACGGATCTAGAAGCATCCCAGATGAACCTGGCCAGGGCTCCTGATTTACAGGCAGGAAACAAAGGCTGAGAGGCGGAGTTTGGTCCACCGCCCCCCGTAGCACCAAGAGTGCTTCAGGTGCTAGGAGGAGCTCTGCCCCACCATGAGCTCCATCACAGACCCAGCATTCACCTTTCCCAACACCAGACAGGATCATGAAGGTCTGGACAACGACCCTCGGAAGAGTGGCCTGGAAACAGAGCCCAGCTGCCGCCTGCTTCCCATTCAGCTATCAGAGCTTTTCTTTCCGCAAAGGAAAGACTCGCTATCTCGGCCCTGAGAGGCAAGGGCCCAGCTTGGGGCAGGGGGGTGACAGAAGCAAGAGGGAAGGTTGTCGTTGTTCCAGCTGGCTGCTAAGGGCTCCTGCGGGGAGGGGGCTCTGCAGCATTCCTCGGAGTCCTCTCCTCCCCACCCCAAGTTGCCACCTTAGGCTCCGGGCCTCACAGCACCCTAATGATTAACTGCTGTATCTGCGCTTTGTGAAATATTCTCTAGTGGGTTTATCTTTGCTCCAAGCCTTGTTCGGAAAGGTTTGTTCTCCTGAAGGTGCTGATCTCAGAAGCTATTTATTCTCAGGGTTCTCCACCACAAGATGGGCCTCTACCCTCTGCATTTTGACCTGGGCAGCAAAATTCCACATCTGAGCCTGAAGACATTTTTGCACCTTATGTGCTAAGAGGAAAGATGTCCGTGTGTGGACACAACTGTGCGGGCAGAGGGGGTCTGGGAGGGCTGCAGAGGAAAACAGAGCTCCTCTCTGCTTCAGACACTCTGGAAATCTGAACAGAAAGAGGCTAAATATTAACATGGATTTATCTCCTGAAATTTTTTTGTTAAACATTATTCCGGATGGCATAGATAAAAACGATATTTATTTGATAACCTATATAGTGACCTCAGCGAGAATGTTATTGGCAAGGCACTGGAAATCAGATAAAATTCATGTAATAGAAGAACTATGTCTAAAGCTGTTAAATATGGCAGAAATGGAAAAATTGACAATGCTGTTACACGGCAAAGATGAGCTAGAATTTTTAAACCGTTGGTCAAGAGTATATTTATATGTAAAAAACAAAACTACTAAAAAAGACTCCTGTGATGTAAAATGATATCTATATCTATTATATCTATATGGCTGTATACTGTGAAAATGATATAAATAAAACTTATTTAAAAAAAGAAAGAAAGAAAGAGGCAAAGCCTTGGAAAACTGACAGGATGTCCCTCATATCAATTTGCTTCTCACACACACACACACACACAGAGGCTTTCTATTAGTACACCCTCTGGATTCCAGCTGCCAGCTGGCGTGTCAGACTAGATTCCTGGGTCAACGGGATGTGGCCAGAGTCAGTCCAATGACTGGCAGGACCTCTCTAAACATCGGGCTCACTGAGTCAGTGCAGCATCAGCCAGAGCCTTGGCAGCCCTCTGCTTTGCAGAGTGAGATTCAGGACTCCATCCCACGTCAGGTGCACGCATTCACAACCAGACCGCGGGCCCCTGGCCTCGGAAACGCAGAGCCCTGAGCCGCGGGAGGGCATAAGCCAACCCCTCGCGGGAGGTGGCAGTTCCTTGCCTAGGTAAACGGGAGGACAGACCATGCCTGGCTGAGCCTACAAGACACTTTGAAGAGTTTGTGGCTGCAGAGAAGGAGTGGGAAGGAGAGGGGAGGCTGGGGAGTGTGGGTTGTGCCTGAACCCCACCCCTCTGGTCTGGAGAGGGTATTGGGCCTCTACTACAATTCCACCCCCCAACCCACACCACCCCAGCAACTTCCTGAACTGAAATTTAACAGGAAGGGGGGAAAGGGGAGAACAGAGACCACTGGAAGTGAGCCAGTTTGGTGTCGTGGTTAAGTGCGCAGACTCTAATCTGGGAGAACCGGGTTTGATTCCCCACTCCTCCACTTGCACCTGGCTGGATGACCTTGGGCAAGCCGTAGTTCTGACAAGCCAGGTGCAAGTGGAGGAGTGGGGAATCAAACCCGGTTCTCTCAGATTAGAGTCCGCGCACTTAACCACGACACCAAACTGGCTCTTGAGTTCAGTTTCTTATGTGTCTGACTTTGTATTTGATTCTGTTTTCCCTAAATAAAGCTATATTAAGTTAATCGATTTTTGCCATGAATAATTTCTAAATGCTCATGACAGCCAGTGAGACTTGACGTGCCTGGAACCCCATTTATTCATTATTCTTCCCCCTCAGGAGGGTGAACAGTGAAGCCCCCCTGCATTAAAGGAGAAGGGTATTCTCAGCTCCACTCTTGTTTGGGGTCGCACCTGGAATCTCCTCCCCTTTCTGGAGATGAACTGCTGGAAGACTGCTGGGTTCTCCTCTCACAACGAACTTGGCCGGGTTTTCCATCAAAGAAATGATCAGACCATTGAGGGGAAACTGCCTGTGTTGGAAGGGGAACCAGGGGAGGCAAGGGATCCCCCATCAGTCCTCTCAGAAGCTCAGCTTCGTAGTTCAACTCCACCATATGCCACCATCCACATTGAGAGCAGCGACTGTCCCTGTATTATGAGAACAATTCCATCTTACACACCTGCTCTTAATGCAGGAGGTAGGGTTGCAAAGTATCATCAGTTCCCCTCCTTCTGGAGGCCTATTAAAAGCCCCTGGAATGGTTTTGAGTTGTCTAAGCAAACGGCACTGTGATACCCGCTATCACCAGCGGCGGAGTGCTTTGGGAACCAGGCCTGCCGCTCATGGTGACGTTTGATCCAAGGGGCACATTACACTTTGCTGCAACATGGGAAACATGGTTCTCTCCAGGAAGGAAGGAAGGAAGGAAAGGAGGGGTCCACGCTTCCACGCAGTCAAGCCATGTAAGAGAGCCAGAGGGCTCTCAAGCAGCTAGCAAAGCAGCTCTTTCCCCAAGCAGCAGGCACAACAGCTCTGCGCCCACACCGATCCCTGATGCACTCCGACCAGCAGCAGATGGGGCAGCTCAGCATTCCAGGTAACGGCCGGGCCACCTGTGCTCCAGCCACAAGCCTGGGTCAGATAAAATGCTGAATAAATTAAACCTCTTCTCTCCTCCCCGCTGCTGCCAGCCCTTCCCCCCCCCTTTACAGTAGCTGCAGTGTCAACGAACAGCAGGGAGCTATGAATACAGCTGCACTGATGGAAGCCTCCTTAGAACTGATCACAGGACAGCCAGTGACTCCAACAATACGTCACGCATAGAGGGGCAGTGTGGGCACCAAGGGAGCTGTTTTGTTTTTCCAGAGCAGAAACAAGCCAGACACACAAGAGACATGAGACACCCCCCCACTCCCCCGCGGTGCTGACAGTGCTTTTCTAAAACGGGCTTCTGCACCCTTCGGCAAATCACTCTCTAAGTGGCTTCTGGCAGAAGATGTTGAGGTTCTTTCTTCATTCACCCACTAGACAAGGGTTTGGGTCTTGAACAGCGGAGGCTGAAAGCAGCAGGGGAAACTCTGGAGGAAGACACGGGAGACCCAAGATACAAAGTGGAACAACAGTGAGGCTTCCTGGCATCTGGCACTGGGGTCGGGCAGCTTGCTGTGAAATCCACCGCTCCAAACAAGCTGACTTCAATTCTGCTCCTTCCAAAAGCAAGAGGGTTTCTGTCCTCCCTGCAGGTAACTATTTTGGCAACTGGCAGACCAAGCTCACACGGCAGCTTGCTGGAGAGAACACACCTTAGCACGCGTGGCAAAGAGTCAGACGCTCTGTGTGCCACCCGACTGGTGAGAAGCAAGAGACATCTTCATTCTGCACAGCAAAGCCTCTGCGGAGGGGACTGGCCCCGGCACGCCACAGCTTGGTGGTTCACCTTCAGACCAAAAGCCAGAGCGCTCGAGAGGAGCAATGTAGCCCCCCTTGCAGAATGCCTCTCTCTAAAAGAGTCACTTTGCCAACAGAAGCGGCTTCCCACAAGTCCCTTCCATTGGGCTCCTTTAAAAGTGGACCTCCCACTTGAAGCTTGCAGCCTGAGCTGCCCAAAGGCCCACGCACCCTACAGGGTCTACTTTGCAGGATTGTTCTACAGGAGGCTGGGCTGTAAGCGCTCCCCCTTCACAGTGGAGGACTGCACTTGGTGGCGTTTGGGTCTCTTCCAAACTGACAGCTCCATGCCTGGAAGTGCTGGCCTGTTGATGAAATATCTACAGTAGTTTGGTCAACAATGGCAGTCCCTTTTCAAGACTGCAAAGCGACTTTTTCCCACTATGCAGTCGCCACTGAGAAGCACAATACTTCCAGGCAGCATGAAACCCTGGGGGGGAGGCGCCTGTCTGGATGTGCAGTCAAGTTCCGGCAGAAAAACTACAGCAGAAGGCCACAGAAAGGGCACTTGAGATTAGCAAGATACCTCTGAAGAGGAAGCTTCCAACTGCAGCCCGCCACTAGAAATCATATGATTGTATCAGCTGCCTAAAGAGGTGGTGAGCTCCCCCTCACTGGCAACCTTCAAGAAGAGGCTGGACGAATATTTGTCAGGGATGCTCTAGGCTGGTCCTGCATTGGGCAGGGGGTCGGACTAGATGGTCTCTGTATAGCCCCTTCCAACTCTAGGATTCTATCCCAAAAACTGACCTTTCCAACCTGAAATATACTGAACACAGGGATGTGAAGAGTCCGGCTGGATCTCACCAGTGAGCCGTCTACTTCAGCAGCCTGCCTCACCCTCTGGAGGGCCAACCACAGGGCACAGAGGCAGGGGTCTTCCCTGACATAGCCTCCTGGCACTGGGGTTCAGCGGCTCACAGGGACCATCTCCTGCAACCTGTCTGCTGAGAGTGCCCCCCCCTCTGGCTCTCCCCTGCAGCCGCTGCCGGGTACCCGGCTCCCTGCTTCCCACGAGAGCAGCCAGCTCAGCCCTGCTCTGCACTGCTCAGCTGCACCCCAAAACAAGGAGCACGCTTTCTCCAGGAAGCTGAAGTGGCCAGACCTGGTCGCTAGGGAAGGCAGCCCCGGCCTCTTCCAAGGTGGCAAGGTGGCTGGCGGGCTAGCGCTCGCGGGGGGTCCTTGCCGCCCAATACTTTGGCCAATGAGAAGTTTTCAGGGCTGAAGGGCATCTCCCAGTTGGAAGTGGAGAGGAAGGGCAGCTCCTTCAAGTTGACTGTAGCTGATCAAGTATATCACTGACTAAAAGAAAGCAATCAGTTTACTTACCAAATATTTCCCCTCCACTGGCATATTCTGTTACCAGATAAATCATCCGTTCCGTCTCCATAACCTGGACAAGGACAGAAAAAGGGCAGATAAGGAGACTGCCTGGAACCAAACGATGCTGCCTTAATTGGACTTTGGTGACTGAGCCCCTTTCGGCACATTAAAAGCACCCAGAGGCCACACTCAAGGGGACCAGACCAGCTGAGGACAGCCGCCTTTGAACAGAAGAAGAAGAGATTGGATTTATACCCCGTGGCCCTTCACTACCCAGAGGAGTCCCAGAGCGGCTTACAAACGCCTTTCCCTTCCCCTCCCCACAACAGACACCCTGTGAGGTTGGTGGGGCTGAGAGAGCTCTGACAAAAACTGCTCTTTTTTCAAGAACAGCTCTTGTCAGAACCACGGCTTGCCCAAGGTCATCCAGCCAGGTGCAAGTGGAGGAGTGGGGAATCAAACCCGGTTCTCACAGATTAGAGTCCACACACTTAACCACTACACCAAACAGGCAGACTTTCTGAAGTCCCCCCTTTGTCAAAGAAGACAGACATCCCCATCCGGCCTTCAAAAAGATGCCTGAAGGCACTTCCCAGCCAAGCCAGCCTCCCTCATGGATTGCCCATAGCTAAACCTGCAAATGGAACCACGCTCACACCAGCAAGAAAGAGGACCAGTCTGTGCAGGTACTGAGCAAGGCCTCCAATCCAGACGCCCAGGCTCAGCTCAAGGCTACGGGCTGGGTCAAAGGACTTCTACGCGTGGGACAAATGATGCCGTTCTGCAGAAAACAGCTGAAAAGCCACAAGACATCCACAGCCAGGGAAATGCAACTCCTTGGATAGACTACCACCCCTGAGCTTTAAAGGAGAACCGAGCCAGAAGTGAACAGCTGGCCTTCTGACAATCACGTTAGCAGCCCTCACTGGTAGCAACAGTCTCTGCACTGGGAACCAAGAAAGCAGCTGAAGATGGAGAGTGGGAAAGGGGCAAGGAAGGAGAGCATCGCGGGACTTGACGCAGCCCTGAGTGCCACAGGATCCAAAGCCAGGCAAGCAGACTTCTAAATGACACGGCCCATGACAGAGGGCACAGGACGGGGGATTTGCTCTCCCAAAGGCTCATCCCATAGGAGGAGCAGTGTTGCCGGGAGAGGCCGACCATGATCTATGCCATGCCAACTGCATGGGCCTTTCCCATGGAGCAGTGCCCCTGCTACACATTTCAGAAGGGCTGTGAGGGGGACCCAGAGCCAAGAACCTCCCCTGGGCTCCAGATGCACCCGAAGGGAACCACAGCGGAGGGTTGTGCAAGTGCATGCGCTCACCCCTTACAGATGTTTGCAGTCCAGGGGGATAGCCAGGAAATTTCGGTTGGTGGGGCATGGGGAAATCTGGAGGGGGGCGCGCCCCAGACACACCTGCTGCTCCTCTTGCAGCAGAACAAGCAGCAGCTCCAGCTCCGCTGCAACACCTGGTCCTTCTCCAGCCCTACAGTCCTTTCAATGGGAGAGACTCAGTTCTGGGCTGCTTTTTTGTGTCAGCCAAAGCGGGGGGGGGGGACCGCTGACTCTCGTTTGCATTCTGTAATTTTAATTTTTGCAGTTTTATTATATATTATTTTGCATTTTTAAAGGCCTGGAAAAAAGAAAATGAGACTGAAGCTTCCCTGACTGTGCCCAGGGACAGTTTGGAAACCCCACATGCAATATTATTATTTTTTTTGAAATTTTTGAATTCTTTTGTCAGAGGGGGCGGCACCGATCTGTGGGGGCACTGCCCACAAATGCCTCCGTGGCTACGGGCCCATTGCAGTCACTGAGCCTGAACATCAGCCAGGCCAGAGGCCCTGCCCAGTCAGCCTCTCTTCGGTTGCAGAGCACCTTTAGGCAGACACAGCTGGCGGAGGACAACCTTCAGCTCCTGAAATCTGACTAGAAACAGTCCTTCCAGTTTTGAAGAGGTTTCGCGAAGCTGCTGGTCAGCAAGGAAACACTCCAGGATCTAGACCGAAAGTGCCCTCAGAGAAGGAGGCTGGGGGTGGCAAAGGGCAGCCCTTACGGGCCCGGACCCGGATAGCCCCGGCAAGCCCAATCTAGTCAGATCTCAGAAGCTAAGCAGGGCCGACTCTGGCAAGTACTTGGATGGGGGACCGCCAAGGAATACCGGAGGTGGGGGCAGGCTTTATTCAGCCACCTCTCTGAATATCCTCCAGGCCCCCAGTAGGGGTCACCAGAGGCCACCATGACTTGCAGGTGCACACACACACACACACACACACACCTTACGCAGCCTGCACAGTGCAGTGCTTTCAGGAGTGAGCTCCATCTGGGGAGTCCTGGCTTCAAATCCCCACCCTGCTGTGAAGCTTCCTGGGTGACCTTGAGCCACTTCTCACAGCCTAAACTCATTCCGCTCGCCAAAGCTCTTCCTGTCGAAAGGTGCCGGGGAGGCCTGCATCGTACCTTATGAAGGCCACCCAGCTCAGAAGATGCCTGCCGCACGCCTTCCAGACCAGCCGGTAATCTCCAGTACTGGTTGCCACACTTGTCACCAAAACCTCTAGGCTGCTCACCACACCAGCCTTGGGGGCAGACACCAGCCCCACCCCCGCCGCACGACATTCCTACCTGATACAACCTGATGATGTGAGGGTGGCAGAGCAGCTTCATAATCTGAACTTCTCTGAAGATCTTCTTGAGGTTCTCTTCATCCAGCTGTGTCTTATCAATGATCTTTATGGCAACCTGAAAGCGACAAAAAGACAGACATCTAGAAAGTGGCCCAGTGGAACAGGCAAGCGTCATTGCTCCTTCCGTCAGAGGGGACCGTGTCTTCTCGCTAGTCATCCCCTGCCTTTCTTCCACAGCGTTTCACGAGGCCCATGCTCAGGTGAGCTCCCAACCAGGCCCTGACCAGACCCGTTTAGCAATGCAACATTTCCAGAAATTAAAACCATTGTTTTCTCCCAGACAAAAACAGCAATTGAGAAAAACTGAAATACAATGAAACACAGTTGACCACCTGAAATACAATGAAATACTTTCCTATCACATCTAAACTTATTTCCCTGTTCTAACATAAAATGCATCATTTACAAGTTAGCATATAAAACTGTACTTATTAGCATATTTATGGATTATAAAAGTATAAATGCCTCTGTTTTCGATAAGCAAAACTGCAAATAAGCCCAGTATTTGAGAGATGAAAATGGCTGCACTCTGCGCCACCTCAGCACATGAATCCTGGTTTTGCCATCTGAGAAGTCAGGGAAAAGAAGTTTTAATCACAAGACTTATTCTGAAATATGTTTTTTCAGTGTTCCCCAGAGTTTCCCAATCCTTCCCCAGAAAAAAACAAAGTCCTTACACTTTTTATACTGTATATTTTGAGTAAAGCTTTGTGTTTAAAAGCATTTAGCTCATTCCACAAGGAATTCAGGGATTTCACATGCAGGTTTGTCCCCCCCCCCCAGTTTTCCCCTAAGTGTCCCTATTTTCCCACTTCAAAAATAGAGGAAAAGGTGCTTGGGAAAAAAGGGAGAAAACTAGTTTTTTTCTGATCCCCACCCCCCAGACCTTCGTATCTCTAGCTGCATTGCACCCCATGTGATCCCATCCAGGTATCTGTGAAAGCCATATCCAGGGCTCCACCTAGCCTAGCACTATGTATTCACAACTGGCAGCTGTTTTGCCAGGCCCTTCCCAGACTAGCTATTTCTGTACCTTCTCGCGACCCTCCCCTGTGTCTGCTGATTACTGGATTCAAGGGGTACTTGACAATCTGCCCCCTCTCACATCAGCCAGCCTTACCGTTTCTGGTGCTAGCTATACGAGGAGAAACATCTGGCCTGTGTTGATACATAACTCCTTTCGCAACTAAATTTTATTTATTTATTCTGTTATAGCCTGCCTTTCTCACGGACACTGAAGGCAAATTACAAAATGCAGAAATCAATTCAGACAGCACAAGGTGATCAATAAGCAAAGAAACAAAAGCAGTCTAAGGCAGGACACACAGTAATGCAGCAAGTGGATTACAAAGCTGCTAAAATCAAGTAATGTACACAATCAGTGTCACAGCAGACTCCAATCCTATTCCCTTATGAAGACAATCCCCTTAGCTGCGGCATTATTTCCCCGTTCTAATGCCTTTACTAAAAACGTCCTGCTTCTGTTTGGTTCGTTCTGCAAAAGGAAAGAAATGCAGGAGCCTTCCTGGCCTCCTCCGGCAGGCCATTCCATAAGGTGGAAACACAACAGAGGAGGATTAGATAAGGGCAGCTGATGATCTCTCCCTTTTGCAGCGGGGCTCTTTTGGAAGGGTTTGCTCTGATGAGTGAAGCTGTCAATATCCTTCAGGACCTCAGCCTTCCCAAATGTTCTCAAACGTTACCTAGGCCTGGTCAAGATTCAGTTTCTACTTGTTCACCTGTAGCCATTTAACCACAGCAGTAAGGCACGGGTTCAGAACCTCTACAGCATCAACAGGTGGACTGGATAAAGAAACACAGCGCTGGGTGTCTTAAACATTTCGATGACAACCTACTCCAAAACCACAAACGATTCTCCCTGAGAAAACAGAGGAAAAAAGCTGGTTACCTGTTACTGCTGCTCTTCAAGTGGTCATCTGTGTAGTCACACATTTAGATACTTGAGCCTGTGTAGAGTCATGATTGGAACTTTCTAGAACTAAGCAAAAAGGTTTCTTCTTTTTTGCACAGGCTCCAACCACTCCCAGGCAACATGCATGCCTAAAATAGGCAGAACTGTTCCTTTCTGCTCAGTTCTTCCCTGATACATGCTGGAGCAGAAAAAAATAAAGATACACCTGTTGCAGGGAAGGTGGACAGGTGGTGTGACAGCAAAGATGACATTTGAGCATCAGTTACAGGGAAGCAACCTGTTTTTTCTCCTTCATGGGCTCTGCAACACCCCTTTCGGGAGAGTACCATGCTAACCTACCTGGTGATGGGATAAAAAAATTAAGGACAGTTCTCCCGAACAAAGCACCTTGTTGGGCTCCAGTGTCTAAAGCACGAAAGTTGAAGCCCGTGACCATGCGGCAATTCGTAAAACGTTCAAGTATCCATAGCTAATGCAGTGGATGGGGCCACAGCCCTCGCAGAGTGGACCTTAATAGTAGACTGTAACAGGAGACATCAAATTCATAAAAAGGGAAATTATCCACTTGCTAAAATTCTAGGGGAGAACAAAGGTGATGGCTCTTTCAAAACGAGACTGTTCTGTTGACAAAGAATGACAAGACAATAACAAACACCTGAAGTACATACAGCTCTTTCAGCCTCAGATGAAGGGTTGGGCAAAGAGTAAATCCTGAGAAAGGTGAAGAGAGGAAACGATTTCGGTGGAAGACTGATAACCAGGGTGTAACACAACTTCATCCCTAAGGAACAGAGAGGGTCTGCTCTGAGGCACATAACTCATGCTCCCTCCTGACTGTAGGAACAGGAGGTAAGAATGCAACCTTGAAAGAAAGGATATGCAGTTCACACACTGCTAACAGTTCAAATGGGTTTTCATTAAACAAGTCAAAACCATCTGTGAATCCCACAAGGGAAACAAAAATGTGAGGGTGGAAAACACAGCATGCCCTTGAAAAACTGTTCTGATAAGGGGTGTGGGAAAGCCAAGCATTTGTCTGCTGCTGGGTGCCTGGACAAAACAGCTGCAAGACGAAGTCTCAAAGATGAGAGCCTCGAGACCTTGAGAGCACAAATGCACTTCAAGACCAAAGTCAATGAGCAAAAGACATGACCCAGCTCTTAGAGGATGGGAAATCAGTGCAACAGCACCACTCGGCATTTTAAGACTTTCTAGTGGAACATGTCCTGGCACTCCATAAGAGGTCCTCTTAATGAAGTGTTTCCCAACCTATGGGTCCTGACCCCCAAACGGGCAGCAAAACCTGTGAAAGAGAGTTCCAAGCTTTTGCTATCTTATTAATTTGTGCATGCTCTGTATTTTAAAAGTGATTCGTCATACTGAGCAAATCTGGACTTGTAGGTTACCATACCGGAAAGGTTTGGAGCCATCTAATGAACGGGAGAGACCCAAGGATGAATCCTCAAGCATTCCAGGTGTCTGGATGAAGGATCCTCCTCTTATTGGTGAGGTGAAAGACTCCACCTGAGACACGGGAGAGCTGCTGCTAGTCTGAGTAGGCAATACTTACTGACCTTGATGGACCACAGTTTCATGTGGGATGTGGCAGAGAAAGGCAAAATACCCCTTTAGCAAGGCACAGCAGTTTCAAAAACTAGGGCTCTCTCAGCCAGAACAGGATGAGCAAGATGGAGTTCATATTGCGCTGCATTATTTCTGTGAGAATGTGCATCACAAGGAGGATCAGAGGAAACGTATACAAGAGCTGTTCGTTGCAGTCAATAAGAAAAATGTCAGGCCAGCACCTCCTCTTTCACAAAACAAGTATACTTTGCATTCTGGATTAAGCAAACAGACAGATTAGCGGCATTCGTCAAACAAAGTGGATGCAGAAACCTCACCCAGAGTGGTCTTCTGGTCATCCCCGAGGGAGTCTGCCAACATAACATCTTTGCTGGAAGATGAACAGCCACAAGAAAAAATGTGTGGAGTTCATCTGCTCCAAAGAGAACAGGCCAGTTCGCACAGTTCGTCTTTTTGGAGGGCCACGGTGTCTGCAAAACTTTCCTCCAGCACCAGATTTCAAATGACCAACTTTCTTCTTGTCACATCATCCATGCTGGTGATAAAGCTGGTGATACACAAGGACAGTGCAGCAGAGAAGCATGATTTCCTCCCAACAGCATACAAAGCACCCTGTTCCTTGCGTACAGGTGCAGAACGAATTCTTTGTGCTGCCGGAGGTTAAGATGCTTCCACAACTAGAGATTTTGGGGCAGGGTGAGAAAAGGAAGGAAGGAGCCCTTGTTCTCCCGAATCCACCCTTGGAGTGCATCTGTGTGAGGCTGGTGCTACAGAAGACGGTTTGTCCCACGACACCATTGTTACAGCAAAGCAGGGAGCACTGGAAACACAATCAGGGCATTAGATTCTGAATCCATCCTCTGAAAGACAGTCGGCTTCAAGAGCAGAAAACCGCTTCACCTCCAGCCTCGAAGCTGCCATCCAGATTAACTGGTCTGAATGACGATTTTCCGATGGGGAAGCACTTTCATGTGCAGAGATTTCCTCGGATGAAGAGGAATTAGAGGCTTTTTGGCTCTCCTGATTTGGATGAGGAATCCTCTTTTAGTGCCAGACAGGACAGAGAGTGAACCAATGAATTAGGTATGATGGGGTAGGAACTGTTGCCAGAACAGCAGGAACCAAAGACAACTGTGTGCACACAAAAAACAGGCTTAGACAGGGACTCCCCTGCAATTGCAGTTCCGTCAGCTGAAGGCAAAGATTGCTGTTGTTCTGCAGGACACAATGGGATAGATTAAATAGGAGGTGCCAAGTCGGATTACTGGGGCATGTTGGGGGGCCCAGACACCACAGCCACTGGTCCCAATGGTGGGTTTCGGGACCGGAAAGAACTCTGGTCTGGATAATGCTGAGCGGGTGAATGATGTACAGAGGACCCCAAAGATTATCCTGTTCAAGGTAGTGTCAAGGAGCAGATCCGCAGACAGTGCTGGGAATAATACAGAGAGCGGCCTCTGTGTGGGGAGTGAGACTGGCACCAAGGCAACAATCACCACCACTATTATTACCATCATCGCCTGGCGCCTAGTTCACTA